TGTACCTGCTATGAACAGGAAAGGATTGATGAGAGGTCATCTTCAGACCACAGTGACATGCGATTTGCACTAAATTTTCTTGGTTTTTCCAGACGACAATCAGAATCTTGGTGCTCAGCGGAAAATCTTAATCGGAATCTACCAGAACTCTGAATTTTGAGGGCTTAAGTATTTGTTTTATGCAACACACCTGTCTTGTCTTTCAGGACAAAAGTACTTTTCAGAAATACAGCCAGATTGTATGAATGTGGTAGTCGCAATCTTAAACAGTTTTTATATGGCAGCAAGCCTCGCGGTTTTCGGAGAATGAGCCGAATTGTTTTGCAAAAATAATCTCTCAGTGGATAAATAGAGGCTGTTTCAAAGGAATTTGTAAAAAATAAAATGTCATTACTCCTTAACCCGTCCCATGCTACATACGAGTTAACCTTTATCAAAACCAATTTGTTGTACAAGATCGATTTGATTCGTCTTGTGACTAAGACTATTACGAAAACGCAGTTAGAACTTAACTGTTTTTGGGTTTTAAGAAATACAAATTAACGTTAGCTTACTGCAAAACAAGAAAGGTTACATTTAGCGTAATATTCTCGTATTACTATCGGCTTTGCTGTTGTCAATGATGACTCTTGGAAGGTGTTCGATGTTCTTGAAATGGGTATTATATTGAAAGTGTTAAGATGAAGTTTGTCTCTTGTACAGTTGAGGGAAGGGGGGTGAGAAAGTCAAGGGGTTGAGTTAAGGGGGGAGTTGGTAAGGAATAGTGAGCTCCCGTATTTCTTAGTATAGGATTTCCTCCCTACTAAATCTTTAGACCTATATTATGCTGGCATCTAGTTAACTCAAAGACAAGTACACTAAGTAAGGGGGCATATAAGAACAGCCATTATAATAGCTGGGTGATGTACAACAGTGTGTCGGCGCGATCACGTGATAGCGATGCTGGCGACTTGCAAGGAACAGACTTAAGATGATAACATGCGAAAATTGCGCATTGCATAAACTGCTTTGGTTACCAATGGGGTGGGTGACTAATCGAGTAAAAAAAGTAGTATATAAATGATGCTGTATACGCGGACAAAATTTACAAATATGTGACATGATTTCCTTCAACACATCTTTCGGAAATTATATAAATTTAAGACAATCAAAATACTGGTTGAGATTTGAGGTCTGACGGCGGTAAGTATTTTCAGGATTGTTGCGCCATGTGGTCTGGTAGAAGTATACCGATGTTTCGGAGGTGTTTTCTGTCCCCTTCATCAGGGCGATGTCGTTATGCTAGTGATGGAGACAGCAAGCATCTCTGAAACGTTACTGAACTTCTACACTTTATAAATCAGATGAGTAAAACATGTAGAATAAATGGTCCACCAACTCTTGATAATCAGTGGTTAATAATATTATTAGAATTAGTTTCTCTTTTCCTATATCCAATCCTGAAACATTCGTTGTCACCCCCTACCAGTGAGTAATGTAAATGTATCAGAAACACAGCAAAAGGGGTTTTGGTTATTATCGTAAGAAAAGATCCCTAGGTCCCATACCACTGATTTAAAAGAAATCGTTCGTTACATGGAGATTTGTCGGAGGAAAGTTTATTTTCAGCCATCTTTATCGAAATATGTGAACAAACCGAAGAACAGAATCACAGAAATCACCCTTAAAATATGACGTCACGTAAAGTCAGACTAGAATATCTGGTCATTTAGATGCTTGTTATTGAAGCTACTGCAAATTGTTTTATTTAGTTACTACATTGATATGCAATAATTATTCAACTTTCGAGGATTTGGACATGTTTCAATTAAGAATTTATTTTGAAATTATTAATTTTGAGACGTTTTGTATGGCGAGGTGGGGGTATATATCAGCATTAGCGCTGTCTGTAACGGACGCTTCTAAAACCACATTTTGCTACAGCTGGAAATCTCGATCTGTGTCTGCACATAACCCCAAATTTTAGTTATTTTCTTAGGGTAAGATAAAATATTCTGAATTGCGTGATACGAATCATTCCCTGAATTTAACAAACTCTTTATCCGATATTTCTTCATTAGCAGTTACACAAAGAAGGTCATTTCTGCTATAATTATTAACAAAGCTATGTCTAAGAAACGGTCCGGTTACCGCGATGAAAAATATTCTACTGCCATTTTCTATTTCATAAGTAGTATGTGTTGCGTTAGAACAGTGGTATTCAAACCTGGGGTACGCGAAGGCATCTTTTGGGGTACGTGAATTTTTTTAAAAAAAATATTATTTTATGATAAACACTGAATAATCAGTAATATAATTTATTTAATTTATTTTAGATGTAGATTATATACTATGTATAACTTGAATTATACACCAACAACTTTGGGGGTACAAAGTTGAAGATAAATTATATCTGGGGGTACGCGAACAAAAAAAGATTGAATATCACTGCGTTAGAAGACGTTTAAAATTTACCAAGTGAACCTCAGTTCCTCACTGCAGCTCTGTACAAGACGATGTAATAAAGCAGGGAGTTTCAATGGCATCCTTTTTATATATCGAATGTGTCTTCCTCGGTTCTTGTCCTCTCAGCCTTTCCAAAACCGTTTCATTCCGTCTCACTCACTCTGAATTGTTTTATCTAATATCTCTTTCTGGCTTCCCTTTTGCTCATGTTTTAATAATCCTTTCCCGTGTGTATGTACCCGCCCGATCAATCTTCGCGCGAAATTTAATACAGGGCACAAAGGCTCGTAGTGTGGTATTAACACAGCTCAATCACTAATCCCTACGAATCGATCCCAAACTTTTTAATATGCAGAGCAAAGCTGGAGGGGAGGAAAGGCGGAAAAAGGGGCTAACCTGTCTGCAAGCGTGTGAGGGGTGGGAGAAGGGGGTGTTTCGGAACAATATAGGTGCCCTGATGTGCAAATATCGGGCGGACTGAAGGAGTTTCAAAATTACACCTGGGGTGATATCGTGTTAAGGGCGAAGGAAGGAGAAAGACTGAGTCTGAATGGGACGGAACAAGCTACAAGCAAGACGTGAGCCCCAAAGCACGTTGAAAAGAACGCTTTGAGGAGCAGATGATTTCCCATGGAGGGCATAAGGTGACCAGATTTAATTTGTTAAATTTTGTGAACAATTTTAATAACGTTCCAAACCGTAATAAAAGGTAGGATTATTGTTTGCAAAAAGAAATAAAAAGTGCGTTTTTCGACTGTTTTTTCTTAAAATAAGACGCAGGCTTGCTGAAATCATAAATTTGTTTGTAGTGTTAATTTTATATAGGTACATTTTTATATCCATTGGCCAAAATGTAGTAAGTTTAGTGAAGTTTTCCAGGACTTTGTCAGATTTTTCTTAAAATAAAATTTAGTGGCAATGATGAATCTTGCTTATTGGGTATGATGGTCTGTATATGTTATGGACATGCTGGCTTTAATAAAAGTTACCAAATATTTTGTAACATTTCTTTGTCGGAGTTTATGAACTTTGTTCATCGTCCAAGGTTAAAATGTACACGATATTTGGAACCTTTATGTTGAACTTACGTCGAAGCATAGTGACAGCTTTTTGTACTAAATCAACGAAACCATGTAATTATTTTACATGGGTAATACGTTTAACGTGGGTATAATAATCAAATGGGAACTGGAAACTCTGGAAGGAAACTGTAGAAATCTGATGTGTTTCTTATTCATCATGTAGGCTTTTGCAATGTAAGATATTTCGTCACATGTTGGTAGGCCTGTGGTTGCATAGAACAGCCCCTTGCAAGGCCTCTGTTATTACAAGACAAAGAGAAACCTAGATATATATAAAGAGCTGGAACGAGCTTCAAACAAGGGACCCTAGCGAACAGATAGAATCTTTTTATTTACATTACAAATTTTTAAATTGTGGAACAAGTAGGTGTAGCATTTTTGGAAATTATGGAAGTAAGCGTATTAAATCTCTATGTGAATTTGTGTAGAATATTTTCCTCTTGTCATTTATATAAAATCAAATTAGACAGTTAAAATGAAATAATTATCTATTAAGACGAATACATTATTTTCCCATGCTCAACTAAAGCAATTACCCGAGAAATTGGCCTTGAATATCTTAATTATGAGAAAAATCAGTAGGTTATCTTTATGAAAATGTTTTCTTTCTTTATGATTCTGTTTGTCTTGTTACGGTTCCTTTGTGGACATAGTTTTAACCTCGTTAGTTACATGAATAAGATGCCATTCGTATCAGAAAATTTGATATTTAGTAATTTTTTTTCAAGTAGAGAAAAAATGGTGGGTGTCTTATACGTTTGGGCACGGGCTGGCCTATCGGAGTCCAATTCCTGGTATGGACAGGGATGTTTCTTCTCATTGTCAGGTCTAGATAGGCTCTGGGGCCCATCCGGTCTCAAACCCAATGGATATCGAAGTATTTCCTTTGGGAGTAAAGCAGCTGGAGTGTAAAGTTGCCCACTGATATCCTACTAATGTCCATATTAAGAATACACGAAGCTTACCTCCATTTCCTTATCAGGATGGGATAATACGTCTCCATATAGATGTATTTCTCTCTCGAAGATGGCTTGTAGCGTTGTGTAGTTTGGTAGACGTTTGTCAACATTTAAGAGGTTATTCCTGCCACCATCATCAGGGCGATGAGTGGACCTCTGAAACATTGGTAATCTTGTACAGACCTCCAAGGCCTTACAACCCTGAAGACATCCATCATCGCCGGGAAAACCTCAAATCCTACCTTTTCTCTCTCACTCACACACACATTCATTGTCATACAGAGGCTACATGCGGTCACGCGGATGGTTTTGATAATGCAGTAAGTCTACATATTCTTAAATGGAACTGCAACCTAAAACAATATGATGATCCTGCTACCGACATTTAGGCCACAACCTGAGTTTGTTAATAGTGATGTAGGATAGCGAAGAGTTTCAAGTTACAAAACTCTAACTGAATTCCTTGTTTTAAATGTCGCGCCAAGACTGTACCTCTAGTATTTTATCTTCACAGTTGGCGACATTGAAATAAACAACATGGCGGTTGGAACTGATCGTCTCGGGCTAAGTGAACAGAAACTTTTTCAAATTGTGCGTGAAAATCTTCCCAATTTGAATCTTAAAACAAGGAATATTATAGAATGCAAAGAAGATATATTATTTGTGTGGAGTTCCAAGGACAGTTGCGTTCTGACGCTGAATTTGAAGACTTCGAAGGATGCCGATGCTGATAGCCCAACTCACCAGGTAAGGAAAGAAAATACAAGAGACCATTATGGTGTTTAAAGCTTGGTATTTATTAAATGTGCATGCAATGCCATGTTACTATATAGTTTAAATCAAGCCTTATATAAGTACTTATAGGAATGCACGAAGGAACTTAAATTGTGGTTCACTGTGGTAGAAGTTATAGCCATACAAATATTGTAATTCAAAGATACAGATTGCTTATTTTATACTTCCATACATGGAACAATTATAGGAACCTATTTTTATTTAAATTATTATAACCATTCTCATGGTAACATTCTTAAGGGATTCTTCATCTTGCAATTTGCATTGCTGACCATAAGATCAGTGCCTACTCTGTATGATTAATGATTGTCATTTCCAGTGTGTGTAATTATTTATGGTTGTTATTGTGACATGTGGGAGTTTATTAGCTCCTTCAGAGGCTAAAATGGATATCTACAGAAATTTAATTAGATCATAGTTTAATGTTATCTGTCTACTCTTGATATACTGGTCAAATGCTTCATTTGTGTGATGTGGAGAAATTGAAATTAAGTTTTGATAGTGTTGTCTCTGGTATGAAGAACTACAAGTAAGCCAGTGGTGGTGCCCGTGGTCGGTTCTGGTTTGGCAGGAGTTGGAGTTTGTGGTCGGTCGGTACATTTGTCAGGAATGTGGCCATGATGCTCAGATTTATGCGTGTAATCTAATAGATATCATGCTCTGGTAGGGATTCAGTAAAGGTTTTTGCAGTTTTACCCATTTTAAAAAGTTTCCATCTTGTTTTCATGTAAAGAATTTTGTTGATCTGGAGATTTTACAGTTTATAAGTATAATAAATTCTTCTTGGGTTGTCAGGCGAACACCAGATTGCAAGGCGCTACAACCCTGAAAACAGTCATCTTTGTACTCACCACCACGAGTACCTTAAATTTTACATAGTTGATACAGTTATAAATATATACAATATCTAAGAATGTTTGATACAAATATATTGTTCTGTGGAGTAGATGAGAGGTAAAATATATGATTTCTATATGAAAGTTGTGGGTAACCCCTGATACAAAATAAATATATGTAGCCCTCCATATAAGTGGTCAGCATATTGTAAAGTTCTTAATATATATCTGTTACATTCATACAAAATTTAGGAGCACCTTAAAATATTTAAGGACCAGGTATATTGTCATCTGAACTACCATGAGGATGAAGTGACACATGCATACAATAAAAGATAGAATTTATTTACATATTTTATATTGTAAGCCAAGGATGTGAAACGTGTCGAGATGAATGAACACAGTACAATAAATAATTCATATAAATATTTACAGTATTTAATAATTTTTGATTAGAGTAAATAATGTTTCAGTACTGGCTTAAATTTAAACTTTTAATGCTATCTGGAAAAGTATTTAATTGTTTGATCCCCGCATAACTAGTGAGGTTAGCCTACGGCTGATAGAGATTATGCTTATGCTTTGTATTTATGCTGTGTATGTTCAGGATTGTTTGGAGCTTCTGAATGTTGTCCTCAACAGAAGAATAATTAGAGTATGAATTCACTCACAAGAGGGGGGTATATTAATTTTTTTAAATAGTTCTCTGCAAGATACTCTTCTGTAAACACCTCCCATTATTTTAATAATTTTTTATGATAAATGCTCTTACGGTCTGTTGAATTTACCCAGAAGATAACTTCATGTGATGTGATGGAACGGAAATGAAGTAAAATAATTTTAAAATGCCCGCTTTCATCATTGGTATGACTGTTCATGGCAAAGCAAGTTAGTTTAGGGGTAACATATTCAAAGTGCATTTTCCAATTTAAGTTATCAATTTGTAAACTTGTTTTATTTTCATGTGCTATACTAAATTAATACTTGTTTAGTTGTTGGTATTGAATTTTATGAAGTGTATACAAATTTAAGGTGATCTTAAAACTTTGCATACCGTGTAGTATATTAAAATATAAAAAAGCAAACAAACAAACTATTAACACTATAAAAAAGACACTATTGCCATACGCGTTTCAACCTCAACAGGTCATCATCAGTGGCATCAAGGAAATTAATTAATTGAATCAAATTGTTTAAACTGGATTTAGAAAATAAATGATGAACAGGGTATTTAACAAAAGTATTTCAAGCGACACTGCACTAGATATATCAAATCTAAAACTTCTTGACGATGGTGAAGAGTCAATTGAATATCTCCGGAGATAGGGATTAGCTCTATCTAGTGGGCCCAACTGTGTAGGAACCTGAAGACGGAGATAGAGTCCCATCTCCGAAACGTCGTTTTACGTTTTATATTTACTAGACGATGGATAATATCCAAAAATTTTATTCAATTGACTCTTCACCATCGTCAAGAAGTTTTAGATTTAAGTATAGGAATGTACTGAGGACAACCACGAAATCACTCTGTCAGAATATCCAGTCTCCGGAGATAGTTTCGAAACTGTTAACTCTCGAAAACGCACTAGATGATGTTATTCAGCTATTCATTATTTATTTTCTAAATCCAGTTTAAACCATTTGATTAAATGAATTAATTTCCCAGATGCCACTGATGATGACGTCTTGAGGTTGAAACGCGTATGGCACTAGTGTATTTTTTATCGTGCTAATAGTTGTTTGTTTGCTTATTTTATAATTTAATGTGAGTTTATTGGCTTCAAACAGGTTGTTCAGGTCAGCAGAGACATCAATAACGGAATTTTGAAAGTAGTCACTATCACGATGATGATTAATAATACTAGTATCATTAGTCTTGGACTGAAAATTCATTATTTGAGATAGAGGTTGTAGCAAATTGGTGTATCCATATTTGCCCACAATTTCAATCTGATACATAAGATTGTTTTTATTTTGGAATTTATCCCTGCATGAATTTCTTGTTTGCTTCGTACATTAAAGCCTTAATAATAAGACATCTTGCTTCCGAGGTGAAGAAACATTTGCTATGGATTTTTTAAAATTTTACTCTTGGCCAGAATAATGTAGTGAGTGAAGTGACTGGCTGTAGGCCAGATTTTTGTTGCTGGTAGAGGCAGACATTTTGTTTGAGCGTGTCTAGACCAACTGAGAGTTCCAGTGGGTATCATGGAGATACAGCACTGGAACATGAATTTGATCAATCACCTCCTCCTGTAATTAAGTTTATGAATGCGTGGATCCTCCATTCCATGTGTGCGTCTTCCTGACATGGTCCTTAGCCGTAACAACAACTTTGCTTTTAGATTCTGAAGTATATAATGGAACAGATTGTTTACTTATTTATTTATTGTGAGAACTTTTATTGGAAACTACCTACATGTGTAAAGTTGTTTTTTCAAAGTAATTGAAAACTTCCTTATGCCATCTCTCCTTGTTTCTGCCAATTTCTGATGAACAGTGGATTTTCACTGTATATTTTAACCTGGAGACATTGCATTTTGTATTCTTCTTCTTCTGTTTCTTGACCGTTACTTCGGTCTTCCGGTGCCTAATATTTTCTTCCATTCTTCTCTGTTTTCCCATCCTTCCGGAGGTAGTTTCCATTCTTTCATGGTTCTTGTAATTCTGTCGTTCCATCCTGGTCTCGGTCTCCCTCTCTTCCTTCTCTCTTTTGGTTGCCATTTCACAGTCTTCTTTGGTAACCTTTCCAACTCCATCCTTTGCATGTGTCCATACCAAATCAGTTGTCTTCTCTCTATCTCCTGGATTATATCTCGTATTCTAAATGTTTATGCATCGAGTAATGGCAGTTAAATCATAAACAAAATTGAACCGAGTGACGAATATCAGATGACAAATGCAGAAAATAAGTCCGAATAGTAATCATACTTCCTCGTTTTTAGGTTAATGTGGCCAATTTTCTTATTCTAGTTACCAGAGATTAAACTTCTTAATATCTGTAATGGAAAATCCTTTCTTCTGTGTCTCAATGCTTTTCGTCAAATGGTTTTATAACTGCACATTCATTGTCTTCGTTCATTGTGTCTTGTGATCCTTTTATCAGTGATGACTGTTCAAAAGATAGCTTAGTCTGTAAAGTGACTGGCTTTGGGCTGGATGTCTGGATTTCGATTCCATGCACTCACGTTAGCTTCTGTTTTGGTCATTGCTCTCAGACTGGCCCCGAGACCCGCCAGGCCTCCTGTTCCAAGGTCGTCACTTGTCCTCTTGGTAAATGAAGTGACTGGAGCCTAAAGCTGATTGTTCCAGTTCTCAATTTTATTTCCATATATGTATTTACTTGAGTAGGTAAATATGTATCAGAGTCATTTTCCATCAAGAACGGTCTGAAACAAGGAGATGCTTTGTCTCCCTTGCTCTTTAACTTTGCGCTAGCATACGCCATAGGCAGGAGGGTTTGCAATTGAATGGGACACATCGGCTATTGGCATTTGCTGATGATGTTAATTTATTGGGGGACGATATGAATACAATAAAGAGGAATGCAGAAGTTTTACTAGAGGCTAGTAGACAGGTGGGGCTAGAAGTGAATTCAGAAACAACTAAGTACATGTTAGTATCTCGTCATCAGAAGACAGGCGGGCAAAATTATCTTAGGGTAGCTAATAAATTCTTTGAAAGTCTTACAAAGTTCAAATATCTGGGAACAACAATAACAAATCAAAATGACACTCATGAGGAAATTAGGAAGAGATTAAATTCTGGAAATGCTTGCTACTTCTCAGTTCAAAATATTTTGTCTTCCCGTCTGATCTCTAAGAACCTGAAAATTAATGTATACAAAACAATAATCTTGCCTGTTGTTTTGTATGGGTGCGAAACATGGTCTCTCACTCAGAGGGAGGGACACAGATTGCAGGTGTTTGAGAATCGGGTGTTGAGGAGGATATTTAGGCCAAGGAGAGAAGACGATGGGGTATGGAGAAAACTGCATAATGACGA